TGAACCGGAGTAACATCAGCTGACTTCCATTCTGATGGGAACCGCCCAGTACGCAGAGAATGGTTGAATAGGGAACAAAGACTTAGCGCGATCTGCTCACTGCACTCTTTAAGAATACGCGCAGGAATTCCATCGGGGCCAGTGGCTTTTGACGGATCCAAAATAAACAAGCAATCTCTCGCCTCGTTGAAAGATAGTGTGATCTCAGAAAGTTCCGTATTTATTCTCATGGGATACATTTGCAAACTGCGTGCTTTGTCCTGCTTGGATGATGTTAACACAGAGCAGAAATAAGCATTAAAAAGCTCAGCCTTTTCAGCTGCAGTTTTTGCTGATTTCCCGTCAAAGCTGATCTCAGTATTCGAGCCCGGTCGATGATGTAGGATAGCTTTGTGATAGTTCCAGAATAGTTTAGGGGTTTCCTTTAAAGAGCCTTCAATTTTAAGGAGATAGTCGCGATGTTTTTGTGGAACAAGTTTCTTGATTTCATTGCTTAAAGATCTAAGCTTTAGCTTCCGTTCCACGGTTTTGCTTTCACGATATTTCCTCAGGGCACGGTACTTTCTGCGTAATGCAGACTTAACTTCTCTGTCTATCCAAGGAGGAGAGTTGGTGTCTCTAATGGTCTTCATTGGGACACATTCAGCAACTGCTGCCAGAAATAAATCTTTCCACCGAGACCAATAGATGTCAACATCGTCGGAGTGCGATATAAGAATAATTGGCTTTTCAAGCAAAGCCGTTGCATTCCCATAAAAACCTTTATAAATTCAAACCGTTGTAACATCACACCTCCGTATACTGCAAGGCGTGAGTCATGTTTCGCGTGGTCAAATTCGGTCGTTATGTAATAGTACATGCCATATGTCACGTTAGCCTGAACGTTCGCATAAAAAAGGGAAAAAAAAGGATAACATTGAGAGCTTGGGCCGCCTGTGGACAGAGGTGTATTTAAGAGTGCTTGACATGTAGCGAAGAAATGATTTTCTTCAGTGTTTCTTGGACAGGAATAGAAAAAACTTGATCCTTGGCAATTTCACTGTCCAGAAATATTTCTATAGAGCACCATGTTAATCCTTTGTCGTTCCCTAGAGTCTTAAGTCACAGGTCCAGTATCTGAGTCTCGTATCTCTATTATGAACAAAAGAAGAAGGACAGAAGACCTGTTAGCGAAAATGCCTACAAGTTCTTATCTATTTAGCGTGCGTTTGACTGAACTAATAATGTATAAGATAAGGCCATACTTCTGCCAGAATAAAGTCCAACAATTAGTAGCGATCACCTCAGTGAAGTAATTCCTTGTTATGAAGCGCTAAACGTATTTGCTTAAAAAGTTATCAACAAGTAAAAAAAACCAGAACGATTTTATTAATGCTTTTAACAAGGCTGCGTTCACACTTTGCTTAAACGAAGCACATTTCCTTGCAGAGATTCTTCATCTTCATAATGCATGTTCTCCGAAGCACAGGTGTTCGCACCGCGTATCTTCGAAAGAAGCAGAAATGGGAAAACACAAAGAATAGCAACTTTCCGGGCTCTCACTCAGTGGTAGAAAACTCAAGCGCCTGGTCAGAAAAGCATGCCATGGGTACCCTGTGTACCAACACAGAGAGTCCCGATTCAATGTTCAGACGACATCAGATCTCGCCAATCAACTCCGATCGAATGGACACCAGAGAAAGCTGCCTCACCCCAGTGAACTTATAAGTTCTGTAAATTTACACAAATGTGACGAGCACTGNTCCGATCGAATGGACACCAGAGAAAGCTGCCTCACCCCAGTGAACTTATAAGTTCTGTAAATTTACACAAGTGTGACGAGCACTGAAAACGTTTTCTATAATTGGAGCTTGTCAATCACTGCTCAGTAGTCATTGGTTAAATCGTAATATTTTAAGGCAAACCAACCTAGGCTAAAGCATGAGAAACACAGGCGGCCGCAAAGAAATGTTGAACATTGGTGCACTTCGTTAGGAAGATTAAATTTTTTCGGTTCGACTTATGTTGCTCCTGTTTATTCTCAAGCTTATGCGCTACCGAGTAAAAACCATTGTCAAGCTGGGATTAGTAAAAAAGTCCAGCTTGCACACTTAAATAGTGTTCCGCGATTTTTTTTGTTTTTGTTTTTGTTTTCGTTTTTGTTTTTTTGTTCTCTGATTATTGTTTCCTCAAGTGTTTAACCATATTATTACGACACTTGAACAATGCAAAGGTTAACAAATAACCAAAATGAACGACCAAGCACTAAGGAAGAGACTGGGCACTAGTAGTTTTCATAAGGTGTTTCTCAAAATGAACCCGTGGAACCCCGCCCCAAAATTTCAGCCGTTAGAAATTGACTATGATTAAACATTGGAGAAAAATAAAATGTAAATCTACTCGGCATTTTTTGTAAATTAATAGCATGAAAGACGGCATTAGGAAGGCAAAAAAAAAAAAAAAATGAAATAAAATAACGCATTAGTTCCCTTTAAAAAGGGCAGCATTTTGTTCAGGGACGGATTGTTCAAAGCCCGATCAAGCTAAGTCAGAATTAGCAAGATATTTCCTTTAAACTTTTCGATGAGGTTTTCCGTTTATATTTTATAGTCCTTCACTTTTGAGCTTGGGTAATCTCAAACTACTCAAAACATAAGCGTGAAAAACATTTTTAAACAAGAAAAAATTTAACTTCCCCTAACTTTTAATCCCGAGTCCGCGTAAACCGGCTTTTGGAACAACCCAGCCCGCAAAGCCAAAACAAACCGATTACTTATTTACACTGCGGTTGGAAAATTTGTATTTATCGAATTCGTCAATTCAAATTAAGATGATTCTTGGACGCTAAAACTGTTGAAAGGTTCATAAGCTTCATCACTTTCAACTGACCGATCCTTATTCGCAAGTTAACTTCAGAAAATTTAAATGATGAGCTAAGCTAATATTTCCTTAATCCGGAATAAACAAGCTAACTATTAAATTCGTGTTTTATTATAATACTCCGTTTTTATAGCCTGCTTACCAAACTTGAACAAACCAAAGCCATGTAACGTATCATTGCTGTCATTAAACACGACGAGTACTTGAAAACACGACATATTTGTTTTCTATATTTATTTAGGATTGTATATTGGATCTCGTGTCATAAAGGTTTCTAGATAAATAGGAAAGCCCTTTCGCCATTTATCTGTCGTTTGGTCAGTGTAATCTTAGTGAAAACGGCTTGACAGGGATAAACGGATAGGAAAAATTCTCTGCCGCATCTGATGTTCCCAAGCCACAGCCCACTGTTCAGGGCATACTTTTAGCGTTAAAGCACGCATGCACTGCACGTCATGTTGAAATATGGGATCCGTAGCAGTGCGCACAAACACCAAGTAGTTGAAATGAAATGACACGTGACTGCAAACAAATACAGCTCTACATCTCCGCGCTCTTCAACAGAAATATGTCTTGTATTCTTCTCTCTTACCTTAACACCTGAAGTTTCCTTGGAGACCATAATACGTGCCCATCAAGCTTAAAGTAGAGCGTTAAAACATTGAACTTTTCTCAGTCTCAAAATAATTGTTGACACAGTGATTGTCTGGATTGAAACATCAAAACCACTTCTTAAAATCAGTTAAAATAAACACATAACCTTGCTTTCCGATGCGAATGTTCCAGTCCGTTTCAGGGCACAGCAGCGAGCNATGCTGAAATATGGGATATGAAGCAGTGCGCACAAACACCAAGTAGTTGAAATGAAATGACACGTGACTGCAAACAAATACAGCTCTACATCTCCGCGCTCTTCAACAGAAATATGTCTTGTATTCTTCTCTCTTACCTTAACACCTTCTGAAGTTTCCTTGGAGACCATAATACGTGCCCATCAAGCTTAAAGTAGAGCGTTCATATCCCCTTTTCAATTAAAAACAAGTGAAATGACCACTGAGCTTCATTTTAATTTAATGAGTTTCATTGAACTTATACAAAAGCTTAATATGCTAATTTATTTAACAAAAAGCCTCCGACGAAGTTATTGCCACACTATTTTCTACCATTTCCCAACACTGCCATTAGCACAACATAATTTCGCTTGGATAATACTTTTAAAAGGTGTTTCGATAAATACCAAGCATTTTCAGTCAGCTTTTAAAGACTCTTTCCTCACTCGGAGAAAGTATTTAGAAATGAATTGAAGTTTGGTATAATGTATTTCCTAAAGGATATGGTCGACGCAAAAAAAAATCTCGCACTATAAGATGAGCTACTCGGCGCAGTTTCAGCCCCTATAGTGCAGGTTTCACTTAAAACATTCTCCCAATATTCGTTATCGTTGCCGCCATTTTGAACAGCATTCAGCAGCTAGGCCGCGTTCTCGTGACGTCATTTGGTGCAACAGATTTTGTCCATGGCTTCCGACAAGCCTTTTTACTACCCTCTAGGTTATGACTGCTCTTAAGCCGTATTATTTTAAGCCAAACGTGCTTCAAACCACGAAAATGCTAGCAGTAAAGATGGTGAAGCGGATTATCGGCTGGGAAAAAAGGTACATTTTGCTGACCTTGTGAAGGATGCCAGGTCAGTCGCAGGTTTTTCTGCTTCTCGCCAATTTTGAGTTGGACGGAATGACGTCACAGAAACGCGGCGTGGCTGCTAAGCACAGTTTCAAAATAGTGGCGTCCAGAGTCGAAGTTTGGGCTTCTTTGGAGCTGAATTTCTTCAGGGTAGCAGATACTTTAGAGGCTGATAGTCTTCTGAATGGAAAAACCCCATGGTTACATCCTATAGGTGGAGATAAAAAAGTAAGTTTTTTGGAGTGACCTTCTCCTTTAAGGCAATCGATATTTCCATGAAAACTTTAAACAAAAAATTGAAAAACTTTGTGCTCATAACACGTGACTTTTTTTTCCCAGTTTAACTCACGCGACAACCGAGTGACAATCTGTTGACAGTTATGAACTAGATCATGAGCCCATTGTTAGGTGCAATTAACAGACAGAATCTTTTTTCCTTCATAACATCGTTTATAATCAATTTTTCTGTCTTTTTTTTAAATAAAATGTATCAAAGAGATCTATCTAAAAATGAATTGTCAATTTTTTGGTAAACTGATGAACAAAATAATTTCCTGACAAACTGGAACTGCTTGTGAGCTGACACTTTACAAGAAAAAACGAAAACGAAAGTATATTGCTAGCATATTATGTAAATAGCTATGAGGAAATTATGCAAGACAGCTGGAAACTCTTCATGAAAGATATTTATTGTTTCATTTTAGTAACACTGACAAAATAACTCGCCTTCCAATTTGTAAGCCATTTCGTCTTTTCGAACAGAATTTCTCCTCATTAAATCATAACAGGTTTATTGTTTGAACAAAAGTTCAAAAGTCCTTATTTTGCCGTCCTATTCAGTACAAGATGGGAAACGAAACTTTTAACATCAACCTAATAAAAAATAGAATGCGAAACAAAATAAAACTTTTTATGCCGACCATTGTACTGAACTGAATTCGGGAGCTCTCTGTGGGGTCGAACTAGTTTGCTGAAGATGATATGATGTAGAACAAAATGATCAACTCGTGAATTGGCATTTCTTGGCCACTTACACTGTGGCGGTTTTAACTGAAACTTAAGAGGTGCCCTCTGTAAATTTCAACTATGGCCA